GCGGAGATGGCGGGAGAGAAGAGAGAGAGAGAGAGAGAGAGAGAGAGAGAGAGAGAGAGAGAGAGAGAGAGAGAGAGAGAGAGAGAGAGAGAGAGGAGGAAGAGGGTGATCAGGACTTTGAGCTTACCTTGACTTACCTGGGTGGTGTTGATATTGGAGCTGCTGCTCGTCAGATCAGGAGGTTAAGGAAGGTTGGTGCCAACCTCCATAGCCAGTACTGATGCTGGAGGTTGGGCGACCATAGCTGGTACCTGCACAGAGATTTCATGAGTGGCTTTCTGCGATAGACTTGCATTTGATGAGGTCGCGAGTTCGTGGACAGGAAACCAGAGGTGAAGAGGGAAGGAAGAGCCGATCCAATTGTATTATTGATTATTATGTTATTTTATTCGTGAAAACTCTCTCTCTCTCTCTCTCTCTCTCTCTCTCTCTCTCTCTCTCTCTTTTTCTTCTTAACCTTTGTCTATCTTCTGGTGACTCACTGCTTCTGCTGGGACTGCATTGAGTGATTCTGGACTTCGTCCTTACAGTGAGTAGTTGCATTTGAGTGTGGTGGGGTGATACTTGTGTGATTCACTTGTGAAAGCTTCTCATACTTGACGGGCTCATTGCAAATAAATTTGAATATTCGAACTGTCTGTGCAGGCCGCATGCCGACCGAAAGGGGAAAAAAAAAAAAAAAAAAAGACACGTCATGCTGGGCCCAACGGAAAAAGTGTCTCACGGGACAGTGTCACACGAGACCCGCTATTCAAATAAGAAGCGTAAGGGATAAAGGTTACAGCATCCTATCATATTGCAAGGAACAATACCGTGTGGGTTCCCGTGATTTTGCAAAGGCGAGAATGTTCCTGTCAGGAAGTACCTGGGCACAGAGATGGCCAGGTGCATGTGTGTAACGGGACATGGACATGGCACAGGTGCATAGAAAAAAAAGAACTCCTTTCCCATTCTGGGGAGCATCAGTGCGGTTCCTATCCCACCGGCAAGTCAAGAGAATTACGAGGAGTACACTGCCCATGGGAAGGACGTACCTCCCCTTACCCCTGCCTACGTTAGCCTTTATACCTTTCACTCTAAACTGCTAGACCAAGGTCCTCCTCTACTAAACCGTCAGCCTGGAGTCTTTTCACTCCAGGGTTACGCCTTTTACCTCTTCTCCGGTTTTTCTTTTTCTCATAAATGTTTGTGGGTGTATTAAAAATTTATGCCTTTTCGTTATTCTTCTCCGGCTTTTCTTGCTATCATAAATGCTTGTGGGTGTATTAAAATTGCAAAACTGTATCCTTGAGGCGGCAATCTATTTTGTACACCCTTAAACCCTAAACCCTTTTGGGCTTTGTTTCTTTTGAATTAACTTTTATAAATATAAATAAATAATATTATTACCGTTTCCAAAGGTTGGTTGTCTTAGGACTTCCTCTCTTTGTTGATGGATTGGTAAACCGTAGGCAGAGAGGGAGAAGAGGACAACAAACGAGGGGCTGTGGCAAACTGTTTCGTCGGAGTTTCACCGACTCATCAGGAGGCTGA